CAAACTTCTCTTCCAGGCAAAATTTAAAAAATGAAGAAATTTTCTCTCTTGTCTAAAAACTTGAATTTAACATCGATAACGACTTGAGCAAATTTTGTATTTATATAACACTAAAGAATTGTTTAGATTCAAGCACTATTATTGATGGTACAAATTTGATAAATCATAATCTCATTATTATATATTATGTAATATTAGCTAAGCAAATTTATTTACAATATCCATTATAAAGGAACCGCAATTCCCCACTCCAATTGGCTTTCTATGGAAAGTTAATGAAGAAATAAGTCCAATTTCTAAAATAACTGCATAAATTTCGGTTTTATGAATTATTTAACTGACAAAAAAAGCAATCTATATTTAGACTCACCCGTAGTGCAAGAGAAGTAAAAATTTCTCTCTATGAATATCCTAACCTAAGTTATTTTAAATTAATTAATAATCAAATCTTACCTAAATCTGTAACGTATGTTTAAATTTTAATGACATTTAATTCATTTTATTTATCTCAACTCTGCTATATTAGTTTCTGAAGGATAATATTATCTTCTAAGTTTTGTAAGAAATTTGTTTACATCAAATGGCAGGCATCATGATGGTTATCATTATCTCTTTATTTGACATCAGACTTCACAGAGGGGAAGGAACATCAAATTAAAAAAAGTCGAGAGGGGGGGGGGACAGAAGAATGTTTCAAAGATGTAAGATACAGACACAAAGGTAGATGAAAGGTGAGGTGAGTACTGTGTACAGACACAAAGGTAGAGAAAAAGGTAAGATGAGTACTGTGTAAGACACAAAGGTAGATGAAAGGTGAGGTGAGTACTGTGAAGTGACACAAAGGTAGATGAAAGGTGAGGTGAGTACTGTGAAATATTCCAATATGGCATAGAGTGAAGTGATGGTAGTTTGGAGTCTGAAGTCAATTGTCAGTTAATAGACTTTTTTGCCGTATGAGTATACGTTGCCCAGGGTGCACCACGTGGAGGCAAGTCTATCGCACACCCCGTTTTGTAAGAAAAAATTAGAATCACAGAGAAGAATTCGATAGAAGCCTTGGGGCAACTCATTAAAATTAAATTTTTGGATTTAAAATCCATTGAGGCAATATTATTTGATTTTTTCTGTGGATAATGCAGTAAAACTGTTAAAACTATCTTTTAATTTTATATGTTTGACAAAAATCATTGCTTATAAATGCATACAGTTACCGATCCTACCGATGTATGCGTCAATATCCCCATCACCTTCAATTAAGAGACTAAATGATCACTAATCCATTATTTTTATATTTTTAATTTTTATTATCTTCTCTTTTTTAAGTTTTTATGAAGGCGAATTGTGCCGTTCTTTTAAAAGTATTTAAACTGACACTTGATTGGTTCGAAAAGACATATTCTATTTCTTCCAATTAGTTGACGTATTCGCCATGATGTATGGAAGAAAAGTTTGGACCGTTCCATAGAGGAGTGAATTTATTTATTTATTTCAAATGGCAGGCTTTGTGATATTTATCATTAGCCCTTAAACTTTGACCTCAGCTTCCCCCAAGGGTGGGGGGGGGGGGTACATTTATAGCAGTTAATTAATAGCAATTCATTAGCTGTCTTCTTGCTTCCCAGTATCTTCGGCTTTCCGTCCTTGTCTCTAGGGCTGGACACCGAATCAGGTGGGTCTTCTCCATTTCCTCATGTAGGTTACATAGAGGGCATGTGGGTTGAGTGTATACTCCCAATCTGTGAAGGTGTTTTGCCAAGCAATCGTGTCCGGTACGTAGTCTAAACTCAGCAACGGCTTCGATTCTTGGCCATTCGGCTATGTCCACTGTTTCTTCTTTGTGCGAGCTTTAAGTTCGTTGAACCTTGAGGTCTGGAATTCTCTCCTGATTAAGGCCTTCATTGTGTGGAAAGACATCGGCTGGTCCATGCATTGCAAAATCGTTGTCCCCTTTTCTTAGCAAGTGTGTCAGCAAGCTCATTGCCTTTAATCCCACAGTGACCAGGAATCCATTGTAGGACCACTGTTTTGTTTTTCTCTCTCAGCAGCTCATAGAGTTTCCTACATTCCTTTATCTCAGCTGTTTTGGGTGTCTTTCTGTTTCCAATAGAGTCTATTGCTGACTGTGAGTCCGAAAGTATCACCGCTTTGGTGAATTTCGTATCCAGGCAACGCAATTGGCATAGTACTATCCTAATAGCCTCTATTTCTCCTTCAAAAGCGGATCTATTATGTCCCGCTGCTGCGTAGAAAGAGAAGAGTTCAGAATAGACACCTGCACCAACGTTTGCTAGGTTTTTTATGTATGACCCATCAGTGAAGACTTGGAGCCATTGATCTCCAGGATAGTTGTCATTGATTGTCTCAAGGGCCAGTGAGTGCATTTGCTCTGGAGGGGTGTTTGATTTCCTGAAGAAGTCAAGCAGTTGGGTGCAACACACTACATCAGTGTCTGCTAATGGGTTATGGAGAGAGAGATGCTTCTTGGTTTTTTCATCGATTTATAATTCTTTCTTCAGTTCTATGGCTTTCTGTATTAGACACATGGGAAGAGGGAGGCTTTTTGGTTTGTCATTGATTTGTGATTGTATTAAACCAGATTGCGTTTTCAGATGTCTTGGTCTATACTCATGGGTGCTGAAGAACTTATCCATGGGAATGTAAGTAGCTTCTCATACAGGATCAAGGCCTTTTCTTTGATGAGTAGCTTCTCATACAGGATCAAGGCCTTTTCATTGATAAGGAAACATATTTTGGTGCTTCCTGTAACTTGAAGCATTGCATCAATGGGTGTTGATTTTATCCCTCCAGTAATTAGTCGTAATGCTTGGTTGTGTGCCTTCTCGAGGGGTTTGAGAGTCACCTCTGTGGCTGTAATTCGAATGCCAAGTGATAGACTTTTTTGCCGTACGAAGATACGCTGTCCAGGGTGCACTACGTGGAGGTAAGTCTATCGCGCACCCCTGTCAATAAAATGGCTAAAATTAGGAGGATAAAATTCGATTAAGATTATTCAGTTTGCCAGATTTCTACACTAAATGATTTTTTATAATAAGATAGTACCCTCTTAATTCAAAGTCTGCGAATTACAATATATTTTATCTATTTGCTTTGTTCAACCGACAACATTATAAGTTTGCCATATCAACTAAAGTAATCAAACACTGTCAGATATGAAATCAACAAACTTTTACATTAGACTCACTAAAATAAAAATAATTGTGTCCGATAAATAAATTTAAAGCTTTTCTATAACGTAACTAGCGATAAAACCGCATTCGCAACTGTCAAATCTAATGAATGGAATGAATTTCGGAATTTGCTTTGCAGCATTCTGATTAAAAAATTGAGTTGTTTTAATGTGACAAATATGATTAGCAATTCATTGAAGTATATGTAAAAGAAATACAATTAAATAAACGAAATTAAAGAGTTTATTTTTACATCTGATTGGATACATGAAATTAAATAATGTAAAGTGTACAAACCTATCTACCTAGTGACATCAGTTTTATCGTAAACTATTAATGGGGAATTTCCATCGAAATGTCGAATTTGTTCATTTTTCTCTCAAATGGTTTGGTATTTAATTGCGTGATCTCTTAGAGTTCTTTTGAACTGATAATTATCTTATGGTTCTTAATAATTTTATTTACTTAATTGTACTTGATAAACCAATTCCAGAACCCCTGTCAAGACAAGCTATTTCGATGTCGAGCATGACATTTCTTTTGGAGTGAGAAATCATTTAAGTGAAATTGGTGCCACACCCTGCTTTTGGCAGTTGAAAGTTAAGTAATAAATTTGATTTAAACTGTCCTCATTTCATAATTAGTTAAATAATGCCTAAATTTATTTTCTAAAATTGCATTTTATCAACTGTAGGAACGCAGAATATTGTGATTCATTCGTAATAATAATAATCTAATAAACGCTTCCATAAAGTTACCTAAGTTTTTAAATAAATATTATATAAAAATTTTGACAAAACTATTAAAGCAGCTAATTTGATCGCGATTTCAGAAAATTTGCTTTCAAAATAAGCCCTCATTAATGCCATACGCTTAAGCCATTCACATTTACCATTTTAGAGCATGATTTAGTAGCATTGGTGCTTGAAATAAAAAAATTGTTTATGAAAACAACTTTGCAGGTATTCATTTGCCTAGAAATTCCCATTAATTATTCGTGTGTTTTCCTTTTGAGACAAGAAATTAACATGATTTTAAAAATAATAAAAAATCCTTAAACCATCTCATTTTTGGACTTTACTTTAACGATCTCTAAGCAAAATTTTTAATTACAGATTTATAAGGCCTTGGTGATTTCTTAATTAAAATGCTAAAAATATTTATATAATTTTGAATGTTTGTGTCATTAACCGTAGGGAAAGTATGGATTATAGAATATATTGTGATTTTTGAATTTAGATATTATATATATGTTTATTTAATGTAACAGGGGTGTGCGATAGACTTACCTCCATGTGGTGCATCCTGGGCAACGTATACTCATACGGCAAAAAGTCTACTAACCGGCAGTTGACTTCTCACTTCAAACTAACACGACCCCCCTGGTTGTCATATTCGACCCCTTTTATAGTACTCACCTTACCTTTTTCTCTACCTTTGTGTTTGTCTGCCTCTTTTACATCTGTGAATCGCTATTCTGTTCCTCGACTTTCTACTACTTTGATGAACCTTCCCTCTGTGAAGCCAGAAGTCAGCAAAACGGCTAATGATATCTATCAAAACGCCTGCCATTTGAAAAAATGAATTTAATGTAACAACCTATTATTATTAATAATTTAAATGCTGAAAGTCAAGGAACAATTCATATTCAGTAATACGCGCAACCAATGGCATGGAATGCATCTTCCCTACTACAACAGAGAAATACATTTGGTCGAAAGTTATTAGCATTTGATATTTCCGAGGTTTTTAAAAATAAAACCATAGATTTAAAGTTTTTATTTCCTAATCTACTTAGATGTTTTGCGCTTCACTAAAATGTAAATTGCAGTTAAACTTGATAGAAAACAGATTTGCTTCCCCTACTAAAGAGGCAAATTGTTTACATTCTTGGCTCTAGAATAAGCCAAAGTACGATTTCAAAACATTTATTTCAAATGGCAGGTGTTTTGATAATTATCATTAGCCCTTAGTGTACTTTGAACTTCACAGAGGGGAGAAACATCAAAGTGAGAAAATTCATTACATACAGAAAGGAAGAGGAACACCAAAGTGGCAAAAAGTCGAGAGAGGGGGACAGAATAATGATTCACAGACGTAAAAGAGACAGGCGGGGGACAGAATAATGATTCACAGATGTAAAAGAGACAGATAATGGTAGAGTAGGGTGGGGCGAGTACTGTGAAAGTGGTCGAATATGACACACAGTGGGGTCATGGTAGTTAGAAGAGAGAAGTCAACTGCCCATTAATAGACTTTTGTCGTATGAGTATACGTTGCCCAGGATGCACCACGTTGAAGTAAGTCTATCCCACACCCAGATTTTGAAATATTAAGCCTCTAAACCACCTATGAAAGCGTTTTGTCTTCACTATCTTTTTGTCAAGACCAAACCTAACTAATTCAGTTATACTGTCTAGTAAGCAATGGATTACATATGGCACGAATCTTAAAATTTTAATTTTGGAACTTGAAAAGTCATGAACCAATCAGATCTTTACTTAAATACAATAAGACCTATCCATTCCACGTAATTATTAGTTAGAATTTTACATTCCATTTCGTTCGGCACCCATTGTCAAACATCGTAAATTTATTTCAATACTGTGTGAATTAATTGAAATACTCTAAATATAGCTATATTTATGAAATGATCACTATGTTGTTTCTTCATATATCTCAGTCATTAATTTAAAATTTTGTTCATTAAAGCAAGATTGATCCTTTGATGATACTTTTAGAATCATATGAATTAGTTCCATTCTCATTTATTTTTATACCGAATGATTATTTAGTTTCGATTTTAATCTAAGTTTGATCAGAAATTGATTGTTTTCATGCTATTATTTACTCAAAATCATTTAAAAATAGCATATTTAGAACGTTAACTATTTGGGAAAAATTAAGAAAATTTGTATTAGAATAAATGGTGAGAGAAAATGTCGGAAACAATAAATAATTTCGTTCAGACAACGGCACGCAAGTGCTAAAATAATTAGCAAAAGCCGCTAATTTGGCAACAAAACGAATTCCGATTTAGTTCCATCGGAGTTAATTTCATCTTAAAAGAATTTCCATTTGGACGGATATTCATGCCACGTCAAAAATAAATCAATCGATAAAGTGTAAGATCTAAGTTATCACCCATCATCCACCCTCATAGCAAATTTAACACCATCAAAATGCCATTCATTGAGTATATTTTGCACTGGTTTTCTCACGAGTGACATTTGCCACTTGCTCGTACTTTAAATTTCACGCCTCACTGACTTTCATAAATTCTATTTCATATTAAATAAAAATGCGAATTCAAAGTTGAAAAAATTTGATGATTTTGTTACATTGGAGGGTGATATTGCTGGCTGAAATTGAAAGCTGTATGAAAATCGAAAAGTTTAATTAATGATGCTTTTATTTGAACTTGACAAATTTATTTATTTAATATCTCACCTTCATCAATAAGTTTAATTAATGCATGTAGAATACTTTATAGGACGCTAATACATTTTCGTTCTTTGAATCTCGACTTTTTCATCCAAAAATTAGATAAACGTTTTTTTCTATCTTTTGGCCACAAAGAATTTGCTAATAAAATACCAAGAGGAGCATTAATAGAACTATAATCTTCAACCGTGTTTGATGTAAAATTACTTAATTCAATCATATTTTAAAAGTGAAATCATGATATTATTGCGGCAAGATGAATAGCCACATGAATTACTCTCAGATGGCAATCAATGCATATTGTAGGCAGCGAAAATTTGCATGAGCATTTAAACTATAAAAAGTAGAATGTTGCTTTGAAATAAATTTAATCCGACGTAAAGGCACTGGCATTCTCTAAAGTAACAATAAGGAGGAAAAAGACCAAAATTTGTAGACCTCAATTGGGTTGCCTTGGATAAGACTAGTTGAACGAACAAAATCAATAATTAGATAAGTAAAGAATTTTGTTAATTGAACGGTATTTTCTCAGCATAAAATAATGATGACGCAGAAAAAAATTTCAATATCATCTTAGAAAAAAAATTAATTTTAACTACGATTTTAATAACTTGAAATTTTACTTTCTAAGAGTGCGTTTTGAAGGGCCTCTCTGCCGCTTTGGAGCCCTCTTCTTGTGTTAACCTATTTTGCTTGATTCCATCATTGTTTAACCACAGTTACGGTCAAATGGGAAGAGTAAGCAAACTCGAGGTCAGAGTGATTGAAAACACATCTTTTTAGGACTAATCAATAATTCATTTTTCTCTTTTACCGATGTCGAAGCCTGGCTGATTATTCAAAAGTTTCTT